GTGGTGGTGGTGGTGGGGGGGGTGGCGGCGGCAGCGGTGGGGGGGGCGGCGGGGTGTGGGCGGCGGTGGGGGTGGGGGCGGCGGTCGTGGCGGTGGCGGGAGCGTCGGTGGTGGTGGCGGTGGTGGCGGTGGTGGTGGCGGTGGTGGCGGTGGCGGTTGCGGTGATCGCGGCGGCGGTGGTGGATGCGGCGACGGTGGCGCCCCACTCTCCTTCTGCATCTAAACTTGTATGTTCTTGTGTCATGTACAGAATGCCGTTCAACCTGCACCTTGCTCTATGTTTAGATGTTTGGGCTGTCCAAACGTTGCCCAATCAACCCGCCTACCGCGGACTACTACGTAAGTGCTATAACCGTCAGCAACAAGCCCCCCAACAATCACAAGGTCGTGTGAGATCAGTCGTGCCTGCCTGACTCTTTTGCCCCTCTGAAGCTGCCAACTGAATCTGCTTGTGAATCTCTGCCGAGCAAGCACTTGCGGCCGCACGCCTTGGGTCTAGCGTTCCGGGCAATTTGAGGGCGTAGTATTTGTTGAGGATTCTGCATGAAACATACATATGCGAGAAGTGCAACACGGAGCTTCTGTTTGCTGTTGACGCCTCGGGGCGACATTCCTATGCCCTGCTGTAGCCCGCAATTGCCCACTACTTCGTCATTTGTAACAATCCCCCCCAGATTAGTAGGTAAAACTGTTGGCAATTGGGTCTTGCAGGCGAATAGGGCTAGCATGCAGCAGGCATGCTATGGCTCAAATATGCTCAACTGCATAACCAAGCACGCGCCCGGACGCGCTTCATCCATGGGTGTGCGGGTGCCTTGAACCACCATTTCTCCCTGCGGGATACCTTCGCAAGCGCGTTCTCTGACCTGCACGCCCCCACTTGCTTGGCTCAACGCCGGGGGAATGGATTACATCTCAGCTGTAGCTAACGGCAAAAAGCTTCCCTGAGTGCCCATGCCCTGTCGGAAAGACCTCCATGCTGAACGACTCTGAAGGCAGCTACGCCGGCGCATGCCAAGAAGCTGTAGGTCCTAAAGCCTACACACTATACAACCCAATGTGAGCCATAGTCATAACTCGTAGTATCCCCCTTTATAACCCTTGTAATACTCCCCTATATAGTCCCGTGTATAACCCCCTTTTACGACTTTAGAATACAAACCAACGTGACGCAGCCTGCCAAATTCTGAGTCCTGAACCATGTAATTCAATCCACATGTGTGGCATAAGCGCAGAAGACCAGCTCTAGCTAACGCTTGGTCTCAGTGAACCATAAACCCTAAACTCTGATCCCTAAACCCTAAGCCTAAACCCTAAACTCTGATCCATAAACCCTAAACCCCAAACCCTAAAGCTTACACCTTAAACTCTAGTCCCTAAACCCTAAACCCCAAATCCTAAAGCTTACACCTTAAACTCTAGTCC